AAACGATCTTGTGAGATCTAATCACTTTAGAAGGAAATTGAAACCGTTGTACCAAGAATGACCATTAGCACAAAATTAAATTATATAATGTATTACATATGAAAAAGTATATCCATAAGTAGTCTATTTTATACGATTTAAAAAATTCAATTCATGTATGTGCACATTTAGATCATACATTGTGTTAAACTGATTTTTATATTTATTAAGCTATTATAATTGGTATTCCAGAATTCCAACCCTCGTATACCTTTACGTGTTTTATTTCCGGTACTTTTGGTTTGCAGGTAAATTGCCAGACCGAGAAGAAGCGACTTCACTGCCAAGAGTCAGCTGGACGAGATCATGGTTTCATTAATGTTACTGAGTGTATGATAGTCTATGGAGTGAGCCTTAGTAGTGGGTATACAAGTATACCGTGTGTATCAGGTGCTACTGACTGGATCTGACTGATGTTTGCCTTGACTTTGGCTACCAGTTTAATGCGTTTATATTTCCTGAAACGCCTGCCGCTGTACCGAAGATTGGTGCTGCCAGTGTCATGGTTTCATTTAGTACAGATGACTCGTGCCAGAACATTTGTCTTGTTTTAGTTTTTACAAGGCTATGCACAGTAAGAACCGTTCCTTGTGTTAAACCTTATTATAACTTTGATATTCATGTCTGTGGATGTCAGTGGAGACTGCTGCATAGCACAAAGGAAATCATTCAGCAAGAATGCAAGACAATACTGCAACAAGGTGTAATTCTGCTTGTCAAAAAGGATTGACGTTTGTACATATGTGCATGCAATATCGAGGCCTTAAGGTAATCATTCCTAATAGTCATCCACTTCCTACGAAATGAGTACATCTGGAAAGGTATTGTTTATGGTTCTCAACAGCAGAGCTGCATAGTGGGCCGTTTCCACTCGTCTTAATGACCACCTAAAGACGATGCAAAATCACTTGTGACGGTTCCAATGACTTCAGTCATCTGCATCACTGACATCTTTTGGTGTATTTTCATTTGTTCATAATTACCCTACTCTCCACTTTCCTGTTAAGCTAAGTGGGTGGGTGCTTCATGCTCGGGGTGATGTGAAGCGATGGTGTGGTAGCCTAGATAGTGTTAAGTGCTTTGCATGCCTTCTCACTTGCAGCTGCCACCGCTGGCTAGCCTGGTGCGAAAAGGGAGCAGCTATGCATAAGACTCCCCTGCCAGCTCATAGCCTCTCCATCATCAAGACTTCTGCAGTGCCTCCTCGTGGCCACCCATGGAAACTAGGTACCTTGCGGTCCTAGGCTGAACTGTGGAGGCTCTTGGAGCAGCAGGAGGCCCTAAAGGTACAGAGTCATGGTCCACCGGCGTGTGGACACGCCCTGACTTTGTACTAACTCCTGCCCCTGTGCCCCCTGGGGTTAATGGGCGGCTATGGGGAGGTTAGGCTTTGCCAGTCTGCCTCCCCAAGAAAATCATACTGGCAGCAAACTGTATAGATGTAGGTGCTGGCAGAAGGGCTGTGTCCCTCCTACCCAGCAAGTACGGCGGGCTTGTGGGTCCCTCTGAGTTGGCAACCGCTGGGTAGGGAGAGGGGGTTACCCGTCATCCTGGCATGAGGCTTGTGGGGGAAAGCCTTAGGGAACCCTGAAGGTGGTTGTTTCACAGCACTCGAGGGCCTGTGGGATACCTTCAAGCGTGAAACACTTGATGCAGCCCATGAATCAATTGTTGAACGTCCAAGAGAGAGATGGAATTCCATCTTGTAGAAGACACTGGAAGCCACAGATGCTTGTCGTGCAGCTTGATTGTCAGGGGATCGCAACTTGCACCATTCTCTGATGCGCAGGACTAGGTCACTGTTGAGAAGGGGTAAGGAACAGTTTATCGGGAATCTTGAAGAGGAGGTCGAAAGCCATTTCATAGTAAATGACCTTCGTCCTGCCTACCAAGCCTTGAGAAAGCTGAACTCTAAGCCCTCCTCACAGACGACTGCAGTCCACTCAGCAAGTGGCCAGATAATCTCCGATCCTGATGGTGTGTGTGCTTTGGACTGAGTATTTTGAGCAGTTGTATCAGGTTAATCCACCAATAGTTAACTTGGATGCAGGTAATGCAGAGATTTCTCTGCCAGACCCGCCCATCAGCGAGGATCCACCCGCCCTGACTGAAGTCGGGGGCGATTTCCAAGCTGAAGAGTGGTAAAACAGCAGGTGTTTGTGGCATCCCTGCAGAACTGTTAAAGGCTGGTGGAGAACCTATGGCACAAGGGGCTTGGATGCTGTCCTGTTTGCCATCTGGTAGACTGGTACCATTCCCCCTGACCTGCTGAGGGGTGTCAGGTCATCTCTGGAAGGGGAAAGGGGATCGGTGGGACTGCAGCAGTCACCGAGGCATTACACTACTTAGTATACCAGGAAAGGAATTCGTGCACGTACTACTGAGAAGTATCCGAGACCACCTGCTGAGGCACCAGAGGCCGGAGTAATTTGGATTCACTCCTGGTAAGTCCACAATAGACCGTATCCTGGCGCTTCGAGTCATTGTAGAGCGCCGTCCTGAGTTCGGACGTGGGCTGCTCGCTGGGAGATCCTGAGGCTAAGAGGAATTCCAACAAGGATTGTGGGACTAATAGCAAACCTGTATACAGGCACTGAAAGTGCTGTAAAGTGTGGTGGGGGCCTGACGAGCTTCTTCCCTGTTAGTTCAGGTGTGAGGCAAGGCTGTGTTCTTGCACCAACACTTTTCAACACTTAAATCGATTAGATACTGGGTAGAGCTACTGTCCACAGTCACTATAGAGCAACTCTAGGCAATATTAAGGTTACAGACCTTGACTTCGCTGATGATGCCGCCATTCTATCTGAATCTCAGGAAACTTTAGCAACGAAGCAAAGCCCCAGGGGCTAGAGGCTTCCTGGACCAAGACCAAGATCCAGGAATTTGGGGGCCTACTAGGAGACCCTGTGCAGTCGGTACGTGCTTGCGGTGAAAACATCGATGTCACAGAGAGCTTTATATACCTCGGTAGTGCAGTTTTTGACTCTGGGCTGTCAGACCAGGAAGTCTGTAGGCGGATTGGCCTGGTAGCAGGGGTCATGAAATCTCTCGACAAGAGTATTTGGAGATGCCACTTGGCTCGATTCCCACAGGATGACCCTGCCCTGGGTGGAGGAGGCCTGCCCAAGTCATGGCTTGGGCAGATCGATCAAACTTGTGAGGAGCTTGGAGATGGGCTAGGCCTCTGCCTGGCGGCTCGCCATGAGGGACCCTCGTAGGTGGAAGCAAAGGGTGAATGCGGCTATGCGCCCCCGCCGGCGTTAGCTCCCAAATGATAAGTGGGTTACACACTTTTTTAATTTCTTCATAAGTTGAGAGAGGTTTTACTTAATGTACTTTGACACAATACCTTTCTTGCACTCAAATTAACACCCAGTGCACACACTTCATGCTTAAACTATAAAACAGACAGTAGTCTACAACACTTTTACATGTCACGAATAAACACTGACTAGTTCCTCTCCTTCACATACTACTATACAAATACACACTAGAGAGACCATCTTGCTTCTGTAGAGATTTATTTTACCATGCATGATTTGCACCAGGGTTGTAAAATAGGACCAACATGTCATTGAGTGAGAGATCCGAATATGGTGACTAGGATCTTGACTGAATGGGGTCCTTCAACTATGTGCTGGGCTAGGTTAATAATAGCGTTGAGTGGAACTGTGATGTTGTGACCTGCATCTCCCATCATCTTGAAGAACTCCAACATATTCCATTCACTTGACAGCCCTCTTTCACAACATGCTCTTCCCTCGAACCCTACCCAAACCTACATAAAACAAACCTTCAACTTGCTTTGGCTAAGGTATTTGAGATGTTTTTGCTCTCTAGCCTAAGAACTCTACCCTTTTCTCGAATTTCCTGCAGAATTTTAACACTCTCTGTTTCCAGGAGAAGTGGGAAGTTAAAAACGAGCTCCCTTTCTTGGACACTCTAGTTCATTGCTCTGCTGGCCACTTCTCTTCTGTACACAGGAAACCTATGCATGAATGTACATAAACTTGTACCATCCATTCCATGTGAAGAAATGTGTTGATACCTCTATTCCTGAACACCTCCATATCTGTGACTCCCAGTACCAGGATGGAGGTTCATTTCCTACATTGTCCTCTAAACTGGGCTACCCTCATGTTCTCAGCATCACATTATCCGAGGTGCGGCATACCTTACATCACGACTCCTCTCCTGAAAAGACCTGCCCGCTCTCAGCCTGCCCTGCACTGAGATTTACTCTTTCCATTGTCCCCTGCACTCTCACGGCTTATCTCTCGCCAAGAAACACATTGTCGCAACCTGGTCCACACCCGTTTTCCCTCCACCTTGAAGGTGGGCACCTATGCTATTCATTGCGCCTCCTGTGATAAGCAGTACTTTAGTGAGACAGGTGCTAGTATCACTTAATGTCTGCTTGAACATAAATGCACTGTATCCAGGCGACACAATAATAATACTCTCTTTTGTCGCCAGGCCTTCAAATGGATTGGTCAGCTGCATGGTCGGGCTTTCCTTATGCTGTTGTCCATGCCCGCTCACTGGTGAAATCCTCCTTAATCAAGCTGCTGCCTAATTTCAACTTAAACAGCGGTTTTTCTTCTAAGTATGAAATCCAGCAAAATTTCGAAACATTTTCAATAAATCTTGCTTGTACATTGAGTTTTTCTAACACAGTATGAACATGGTTGAGTGTTTTATCATTCATGCACTTCCTTGGCTCTCAGGGGATCACAGACAACACCGTAAAAAAGTACTCTACAGACATGAGCAAACATAACTCCTGAAAGTTGGACAGCTTTGAAATCCTATCCATATCAAAAAGAAAAATGTATATATATATATAAATTTATATAATTTAAATTTTTGCATTTATATATTTCAAGTGCAGAAAACATACAATCAAAGCCTATAAAGACCTAACGTTCTGGCTGACCCAGAACACATTTTCTTGCATGAAATTATATCCTGGGGTTCAGATATTCAAATTCCATCTTCATATTACCTTCATCCTCTCCCCCCCAATCCCTTGCCCGTTGTTGTCGTGGGGGGGCTTAGGAGGCGGAGACTGGGACCCAATGATGGGGAACTCCCCAACCTTGGGACTCAGCCCTCGACTCAACTAATTATGCATGGTCTTTTTTTTTCCCTTCCCACTTTTGTTTCTGTCCCTTCACCAAACCCTT